AATTTTTGCTGTTTGGCCTCACTCACATTCTGTACCCTATTAGGCACGGTCATTTTACTACCAGTATAACCTATTAGACTTGTATCTACACTGCCCTTCCTCCTACCCATGGCTGTATCCACTCTTACTTCATTTTCTTTCCTCTCAATGCTAAATTCTGGCGTGGAGATTACCTGGACATCTCCCCCTAATTCCTAGTTTAAAGCTCTCTTAATCAGTTGTGCCATCCTCCATCCTAGAAGTCTATTTCCTTCCCTACTCAGATGAAGTCCATCCCAAGAGAACTGTCCTCTATCCATGAATGCCTCCCAGTGGCCATACATCCCAAAGCCCTCCTTATAGCACCACTGCCTAAGCCATCTGTTGCTAGTCATAATCTTGTCACACCTTTGCCCTTCTCTAGGAACAGGCAGAATCCCACTAAAGATCACCTGAGCCTCAATTTCCTTAAGCGTCTTCCCCAGCCTAGCGTAGTCTCCCTTAATACTTTCCAGCGAGAATTTAGCCGTATCATTTGTTCCCACATGAAGGATAATTGGATTCTTTCCCGCTCCCTTTAGAATCCTTTTCAACCTCAGGTCTACATCCCGTGTCTTAGCACCTGGAAGACAGCACACCCTCCTATTCTCCGGATCAGCTCTGGTTACAGGCCTATCTGTTCTTCTCAGTAAAGAGTCCCCAGTCACATAGACCTGTCTTTTCCTAGTGACGGTGCTATTCTCCAGTCTATCCCCTGTTCCCTCTGGCTGCAAGTTCTTTCCATTCCTATTCTCCCTTGTAATCCTCTTTAACCCATCCTGTATCCTCCTGGGGCTCATATTTGGTGTAATCTCCATTAACTCTTCCCCTTTTCCTATAGGACTAGCCGCTCTTCTCTTCTTCCTTGCCCTTCCCCCTTCAGTGACTACCTGCTGAGCCCCTTCTTCATTTTCCAACTCTGCATACCTATTCTTGAGCTCTTTCTCCTTCACTAGCCCATCTTTTCCTCTGCCTGGTTCTTTTAGTCACATGCTTCCACTGACCACTTTCCTCACCCAGTCTCCCCTCAGAATTCCTCAGTCCTGCTTCCATCTGCAAGTCTGAGCTTTTCCCTTCAGATACCTCATGTCTTTGCTCCATAATCTGCTCAAACCCCTTCCTAAACTCTACCAGACTTTCCACCTGCATCTCCAAACCTCGGATCTTTTCCTCGATCAGCTCTATCAGACGGCACTTCATACAGACAAAACTCTTACCAGGTGCCCCCTCCAGGATCATGTACATACCACAGCTTCCACATCCAGTCATCTTCATTGTGTCTTCCGCTACATGGGTCACTCCCACTGCTACCTCTGTATCTGTCATTGCCTTCCTACCTAAATCCTGTTAATCTGGGAAACACAAACCACACCAAAACACCACCACCCACAGCAAAAATCAAGCACCACAAGACAAACTTCCCTTACAAATTCCCACTCAAACTCCCCTGTTTACAGCTCTGTTTGCTAGCTCCTGTGCCGCTGCAGCTGTCTAGTTGCCTCAATCTGTTCTGTGAGCTTTTCTTACATTTCATTTTTCCACTTTTACTTGAAAAAAATGACAGCCATATAGATAGAAAATATTTGTGGTAAAATGCCCATTTGGTTGGAACTTAGATACTTATAACTATTTGTACCTAAACAATTTTACAGTTTAATTTTTCCCCTCTGATAAAAGGGGTAAGTCCAACTTATTGGCTGGCCAGTGTCTCATACCGCATCAGAAGATCAGAATTATATCAGTTGTTACCATCTGTGATAGATGAAGGGGGTGGGGGGAGGGTTGGCTCCCTTTTATGGACAGCCAGCCAGTTAGCTCTAAGTCTCTATTAGTGGCTGTTCTCTGCTTGCTTTACCTGTAAAGTGTTAAAGTCCCCCAGGCAAAGGAAAGGTAGTGGGCACCTGACCAAAAGAGCCATTGGGAAGGCTAGAACTTTTTTTAAAATGGGGGGGGGGGAGAACTTCCCCTTTGTGACTGTGCCCTCTGGGAAAGAGGGGAACAGGGAGGAGTTATGCTTGAGAAGCTTTAAGACAGGTATGATCATAGATCCCACCCAGAACTACTTATTTGGAACCCCCAAATGTGTAAGTAGATCAGAAATGTTTACAAAGATGCAATTAGGTTTATTTATGTTTATTTCTTATGGCTAGTGGACTCCTCTGTGCTAACCCCAGATGCTTTTGTTTGCTTGTAACCTTTTAAGCTGAACCCCCCAGGAAAGCTATTTTGGGTGCTTGATTTTTGTTATTGATCTTTTATAATCTAGCAAAAGCCTAAGTTCCAGATGCATTTTCTTTCTTGTTTTTGTTAAAATTTACCTTTTTTAGGAACAAGATTGGATTTTTGCTGTACTAAGAGGTTTGTGCATATGTTGTTTAATTAGCTGGTGCCACCAGCTAACTCCTTTATTTTCTTTCTCAGCAATTCTCCAGAGGGGGCGGTGAAAGGGCTTGAGGGTACCCCACAGGAAGGAATTCCTAAGTGCGCCTTTCTGGGTTCCCAAAAAAAGGGATTTTGCATTTGGGTAGTAGCAGCATTTACCAAGCCAAGGTCAGAAGAAAGCTGTAACCTTGGGAGTTTTAATACAAGCCTGGAGTGGCAAGTATTAATTTGTAAAAATCCTTGAGGGTCCCCACCTTCTGCACTCCAAGTGCTAGAGTAGGGAATCAGCCTTGACACCATTGTATAACGCCGGAATAATGGAGAGGTAAATCAGGCCCGTAGTATCTAGCCTTTGATGCTCTTGTCAAGTTGTTCCATGCACTTGCTAATCCAGGTCAGTAGTAATTCCTCAGGGTCCTGTTTGCTCTTCATTAAATAATGGTAGGTTGTACACACCGCCCTGCATCTATGCAGAACATTTTCTCTCTCAAAATCAACAAACGCATTCCTAACTTTCAATACATTTTAGGTCACTATGATGGCTCTTCTTCCCCAGTGGGAAAAGCTGTCAGCTGCTTTGGCCTTCCCTCTTTACAGATATTATTAAAATGCAAAATCATTCAGCTCTGTGCTGCATCCCCTTCACAGCAGGAATATTGTTCCAAGAAGGTGGCAAAAAGCTGAATACAACATTCTAGATCAGGCATTTCTGCTTTCAGTAGTCACACATTGTGTTCTTTCTTCTCTTCCATGCTGATAAATTCCTGTACCCATATCACAGAGAATTGTATGTCGCTAGTAATTTTGGACATTAGTTAATGAGTGAAATTTGTTAAACACTATTTACCTACATGCTGAATGGCCTATATTTTACTACCAAAAAATGCACAGACTCAGTCCTGTTAATATTTGAGATGACTGCATAGACTATAACATTTGTATATAATGCTACTTCCATCCATCTGTTAAAATCCTCATTCCGCTCCCCTTCATTCCAGCCAGAAATTACTTCTATAAATAAAAATAAACTGAGTTTCTAGTGTTGAAACATTAGTTAAGAAATGTGACTATTATGATTGGGGGAAAAAATCAACCTGTTTTCGCATCTATTTAACAGTGCTTGAAATTCAGACTATGTAAAGAAAGACATTGCCAACTTGGTTATGCCGTGTGTATTTCTCCTCAGAGTGTTTTTTGAGCATATTTTGTGATGAAGTTGCACAACTGAAGTTCTCATTGGCTTGCAGGGCCAGGAGTTTTGGAGATTGTGAAGCAGCCAAAAGACAAATACATAATGAGAGCAGTGTTGAAAGAAAAATGCAGTGGAAACGACTAAGTTTGAGTGACATCAGACGAGTAAATGGCTTATGAGCAGGGATTGGGCAGAGTTAAGTGTGTGGGTGAGGGAGAATGACTTCAAGATAGAGTAGAAGGAGGGGAGAGGCAGTGGATGGGAGTAGTGGATGTGGCGTGGTGGAGGGAGGATAGGAATATTCATTGTTTTGTTTTTTAAGGCAGAAGCAACCATTATGATCATTTGAGTCTGACCTCCTGTCTCCATTTTTTACCATTCCATCAATTTGTGTCCTTTGTAAATATTACTAGGATTTTAGCAATGATTTTATATTCCCTTTCACTGTTGTGAAAGAAATCAAACGGCATTGGGCCAAGAGCAGATCTCTGCAGGGCCCCCTTACAAACACCCCACTGGATGATGATTTCCTGTTTACAGTTGCTTTTGACGAGGAGCATATGACAGAAGTATGACTGAAGGATTTGAGAGGATGACAAGAAAAGTGAAACGGGAAGGAAAAGGCTGTGGAAGAAGAGAGTAACCATATCGGTGTGCTCGTCATAATGTGGTGGAGAGCAATGTTCCCTCTAATTTTTGACAAGCCGTGTGAACAAAATATTTCTTCTGTGCAAATTTTTGTGCACGCGGTGTTTTGCTGTGTGCGCGGGGGTTAGGATCTCTGTGCACACACACAGAGCTCAGAGGGAACAGTAGTGGAGAGTAGGTAGAATGGAAAAGCGTAGGTTCGTTGAGATCTCATATACCTGAGAAAACTTCAGACTGAGGTAGGTTTCTGAGGAATCTGGTGCCAAGCTTGCTGACACAATGATTTCCTCTGTTCAGTCTCTAACTCTTAACTCTCTTTGTTTGGATGGCAAATTATAATTGACTAAGAGAAAGGAAACTTTAGTTGGTTGTCCAGGTAGTTTAATGCTCCAGACTTGCCAGCTTCTTTATTTAGGAAGCTGGTCTCCATGCTCACTACCTTCTGTCACACACATTTTTAATCTATGTCCTTGGCATCCTCCTTATTCCCTTGGTGAGTTTCACCATTTGCTTTTGGAGGATTAGAGCTCCATTACTTTTACATTTGGCATATTTTGCATTGTTGAACCAGATCCTCAGTGGGTGTAAAATAATGTTGCTATGCAGACTTCAGTGGAGCTACACCTACTGAAGATCTGCTCCGTAGCTGTTTTCATTACATGGTTATTCTAAAAATGTCCCTGTTACAAAGAGATTTGTTTCTACAATGTCCTGACACATACTGCATCAGAACAAACTTTAGGGATATAACTTTACTTACTTGTTTGTTCAAAAATATGTAGATGACTGGATTGTAGACTGTACTACTTTTTGCAAGGACTGACGGAATGATGCTGGCGGACGGCGTAATTAGACCAGGTTTTCCAAAAGTAGCTATCAGGGCCATGATCCCATATGGCAGCCAGCACAGGAGAAAACAAATTACCATCACAACCACCATGATCAGTACACGTTGCTCTCTTGTCCGGCCTATTCCTTTAGTAACACCACTCACCTGAAATAAAGAAAACAGGATTGTGAAAGAAACATTAACAGCATGTATAATTATTAATGCTGAAAATAGGGGAAAATATGTCTGAGTTACTTGAACTACTGCATTTGCAGTTGTGACAAGTGCCTAATGCTACTGTAGTGGGTCCTGTGCTTTTCCTTGGTGTGGTGGGTCAGGGTGCCACCCCTCGCCCATATTCTTGGGCGTTGAGGGCTCCGCTGGTGCCCTGGTAGAGGAGAGGTGGGGAGCAGGGAAGGGACCCAGGTCCACCCCCTTACTCCAGGTCATAGCTCCTTCAGCTTCACGGGCTTCTTACCCTCTTTCCCCTTTGGTAGGGTTTCCCTCAGTCTTCTGTGCCAGGGAGTCCCTCTGCTCTGCTTGAGCAGGGTTTCCCTTCCCCTGGTCCTCTGGTTAACAGTGGTACTCCCCTAAACTCTAGTCAGCTCCCCTTCCCTGTCTGTCTTGGGTTCATTAGAATTAATGATGGCCTCTTTCATCCTGAGGAAACCAAAAGCCATCTGCAAGCTACATTTGTGTGTTGAATGTGTGGTGCTGTTTGTTAGTAACATGCTTTAGGGGATAGGAAAAGATGCCAACTGCTCATCTGTAAGTGCATGGAGATGGGGAACACAACTAACTACTGAAATGCAGCCTTCTCAGGGCAGAACTGGGCAAATGTTGGCAGCATAGAACAATGCTAAACTGCTAGGACCTGGAAAATACTTTCATCTGGAGTGGATGGATGTACAGGGGTAATTTTAGAGAGGCGCAATGCAATTTTCCTACTTGGAATTTGACTAGGGTACCCCAGCTAGCACTCCAATGGGCTCAGTCATCGGTTGGTGTAAGTCTGCAAAGCTCCATTGACTTCACTAATTCAACAGAATTACACTGGCTTACATTTTTAGGGGCTTGAGGCCACTTCCATCTGTGGCGAGTAGAAGGCCTTTGAAAAGGATCACAAGTGGTCAGTTCTAAAGCTTTGCAGTCCCACCAGCATAGAATCAATCTTGTACTAATAGTGTAGTACTGATTGAAAAGGGATCCCTACTACTTTCCCATCATTGCTTCCAGGCCAGGGGACGTTGTATCATTTTCTATTGCCATTGCTGGAATGATGTACAAACTTGTAAGAAATGAGACAGTTCATTCTGGATACGCTGTACTCAAGATCCATTTTTCTTTGCCACTGGACTGCATATCTTGACAGTGCAGTTTTTGAGCTGAAGGCTATGACTGCTCTAAAGTGTATTTGATCACAGGCAACTGAGTTAAAAGAGGATATAAAAATTATAGACTGCGATAAGCTCTGGATGAGACCCGACAAGATTTGAATGATGCAGTTAACCACACCATTGTTGCTTAAGTACTTTTTAATGAGAAATCTCAAGTGATTAAGCCAGTTTTCCTGCTTACAGTAAAATGAGATTTAAAACCCCCCTAAAGCATTTTTTTATTTTATTTATTTTTATTTATTTACTTTGGTTTATATTTTAAGCCTATAGCTCTGGCAAAGTAGATCAGATGCTTCTACTCAGTCTTTCTCAGGAGACAAGAACAAAAAGACTATCAAAATTGAAAGATGATTAACTTAAACCTGATAAACAGGAACTCCAGGGGTGTCTCACCTTAGCATGATTGAAATTCTCTTCTGTCACTTGGGACCAGATGATAAACCTCCCCATTTTTTGTACATCTAATAACCCTTCCCGTAGACTCCCAACACCCATTCAAAAAGCCACCGGTTCCCTGTACTGCTTAGTTCCCTATTGATAACTGTCCTGTTGTACACCCGCCCAAAAAAAATCATAACAAATTCCTGTTCTAGATTTTCCTCTAATCCTTTGGATCTCACACCTCCACATCGGACAGCCCTGCCCCTCTGAATCCACTGGCGACAAATTCCATCCCTCATTAGTCTCTCATCCCTATGTGAATGAGCAGACACTGTTCAACCTTCACACAGCTGCTGCCTTGATCAGATTAGGTAAGGTTAATGAGACATAGGCTACATCTACACTAGGAGTCAGGGTGGTGTTTCCCAGCTCGCATACACATACTTGCTCTAGCTCTCATTCAGCTAGCTTTAGTATAAATATTAGCATAGTCATGGTAGCAGCAGAGGTGCTGCTTAGTTGTGTCGAGTACAAACATCCCCTGAAACTGCCCTAGCTCATAGCTACAGACTAAAATCAAGCCCATCCCATGGACCTCTCAAACTTTTTTACACAATACATCAGTTTCTTCCTCTGTCAACAATAAATCTTCACCACCTCGAGGGGAAAAAAATATTGTTACTTATTGGTGTATATTTTCCAGATGACGCACAGACATTTAGCCATGTAACTTCCACTGATGATGGGAGCCACAAACATGAGTAATGCATCTCTCCATGAAATGTACCCTGTAACTACAGTGGCCCCTCCATTTTTATTTATTTATTTATTTTGGAACACCAACCTTATGAACAACTAGTTATATGGACCATTTTTCCTGACAGGAAGGGGCGTGGGTGTGTGTGAAAGTGATGTCAATGAAGAACAAGTTAATATCCCTTCATATGTTGATGTCTCCAGTGCATTAGAAATTGCTTTGTAGTGGTGTGAAGGACAAGAAGAAAGTGATGCAGTGCCCCATACCACAACTTGTGTGACATACCTATGGTGATTTTAAGAGAGCCTTAAATTAGAAAAGTTCCTAAAATAGAACTCCTTAGTCCTCAATCAGTTTGTTACAATAGGGGTTCTACTGATATTAAACCAAATGAAGGCACTTGGCCAGATCCTCAGGTGTGCCATGAAATCTATGGAACCAGATAAATTTACACCAGCTAAAGGTCTGATCCCACTTTGGGATTTTTTGCATTTCTTTTTTGAAACCTAATCTGTTGCCTAGTGACATTGTTTCTAAAAAAGGAATCACTGTTAGGCATGCTTAAATACTATAATTGTAGTGTGCAACTATGATTAGTCTATGCTAACAACCATTCTAAGACATGCAAGAAATGGATGATTCTAGTCTTTTTTTCTTAAAAATGTAATATAGTTTCAGGTCACACATTCCATCAGAATTTACCTCAGAGTGCAGTAGGTTTTTGAACTGACAATTAGATTGCTAACAACATATATCAATCTAAAACTTCATTTGCACTCTAAAGGCAAGGATCAGGTCATTGCAGTGGCTTGAAGGCTATTTAGTACTCTAACTCAAGTTAGAGTGGCTCACACTGGTTACAAGTTCAGGCTGTAATTTGTAGATGCCAATATTCACAATGTATTGTACTTTAGTGCCAGGCTTACTGAATGCATTAGAACATGGTAAGGGACCTGCTAAGCTTGACAGAAGCAAAGTCTGATAGACATACAGCCCTTCTCAAGGAACAAGCCAAGCCTTACAACTTGGTTTACTGTATTCAAGACTGAAAACACATTAATTTTACCCTGATTTACTCCTTACCTTCTCTGGTGCAAAAATGATCAAATAAAAAAAAATGCTAGTGTATATCAGGTATTTTGATCCTACAAAATCATTCAGAACTTTGCTACCTCAGGACAGAAGACAAGGAAATGCTTGAATAGGTTTGCCAAGTATACTGACTGAACCCCATTCTGCTTGCCAAGACTAATCTGAACTGCTTCATGAGCTAGCTATTATATGTCAAGTGTGAAGCAGGTCAGCTCGGCCCTGCAGTGCTGAGAGAAGCAACTGCAATGTTTTGTAAGAGAGTGAAAGGTAAAAATCAGATCTGGAAGTCAGAGAGGAAAGAAGAGACCCCTCAGAGTAATGTAGGGTCCTGCACATCAACATGTTCACCAGCGTAATACATTTTTGCTTTGGGGCCAGAGCCTAGTCCCATTGTAGTCAATGAATTTTGCATTCAGTGTCACTGGAGCAGGAGCCCCCTCTTAGTTTAGCAAGGCCCCTTCCTTCAATGATATCCACTTGAATGGATCCCACAGCATCCCTTTATCTTCAGTGGGACTCCACACGGGTGACTGTGAGCATCTCATTGCAGGATTAGGGCTTCAAGGCTTAAGGCCTCACACTCACAAAGGGAGCTGCTTCTGAAGATCCTTACATGCACACCCATCCCCGCAGGTGGATTGCTTTTCAGGGTGCGTTAGAGGCCTTTTACTTCTCAGCTGAGAAAAGCCCAGGGACTTGGCAGGTCCAGGGTTACTACTGGCATCCTTTGCATGGAGATCTGTCTCATTGAAATGTTCCATCAGCAAACTGTCTTAACAGCAGGGACAGGAGTAAATTCCAGATACAAACACCATATTACAATCTTATGAATTCAAGGGCTAATCGGCATTTTTTGTGGCATTCCGCAAACTGGAAGCTTTCATTAACGAGGAAGTTAACCACACTGTCTCCATATTGTGATATGCTGCTGAGCTGGTAACCCAGTCTTGCAGGAAACTGTCTCTGGAGGCAACATTTAAGAGTAGCACAGATGAGAGATCATCCCTCCATTTCTCTGTTCCCATCAATAAGCTGTGAGCTTTAAAGCTTAAATGGGACCACTTAAAAGCTAGTAAGCACAAGAAAGTTCTCTCTCCCCTCCGCATCACACCTAACTTTCAAAACATGGAGGAAATTAAATGTAAAAGGCTCTGTTAATGCCATGTGATGGAGGCACAATTAAAATTGCAAGTAGTAAGATCATGCAAAAGGTTTAAGAAGCATAATTTGATTGTATTCCACATACTTTCCATTCTTTAATCATGTTTCTGGATAAGGGGGTAGTCATGGCCTGTCCTGTGCACTGGTGAAAAGGAGCAGAAGAGGGTATAAGGTTATACCTTTGCACTAGTATGGCACACCTTGCTTTTTCTGCCCTGGGAGGGGGAAGGCTCTGCAGAGCCACTATATTCCCCCCTCCCCCACTTTGGACAAGTGGATGAGAAGAGGCAGGGACGGGAGTGGGAGGAGTCTTGACTCAGTCCCTGCAATATGCCCAGTGCCTGTCACACTGGTGCACTGGGGAGTATATGCTGTGA